TTGCTGATGAATGCCGTCAAGCACAAAACTCTATCAGACAGAGCTTCCTATCAATAGCCTCCAACCGCTTAAACTTTTAATTTTTTCCCGTAGTCCAGTAATAGCACATCAGTGGCACAGAGGTAGAATGCTCGCCGACCACACATGTGGTCCGGGGTTTGACCCCCAGCCGACGCACTCCTTTACCTCGCTAAGCCAGTAATAACACTGGTAACAGAGGGAAGTTTAGGTGTGAGGCTAATAAACCCACCCCGTGAAAATAAACACCACTGTTACCGAAACTTCAAGTCTCTAGCTTGAATCCCTATGTTCCATTGGGAACGTAAAAGAAAAAAACATCAATAATTAGGGTGACCAGTATTGTGTAGTTGTGTTAAATATGACCTTTCATTTGATTACAGATATGTTTTGAAACACTAACACCAGACTTCCGTTCTATTATATCAAACATTGCACACCAAAATATGTATTCAGTTCATGCAATGACGCTGAAATAAAAACTGAAAGTCAGTAACTTGTGCATTTTCAAAGCAAAGGTGACAGCCGTGATCGCAAATGCATTACTTGCCCAAAAAGGATAAATTATTCAACAATCTGCTAAATGTTATGAAAAGTTTCATTGAAGTATCATTGTTTAACATTTATATCTTCACTTTCATACATTACAGGTCAGGATGACAAAAGCTTTCCTGGATTGTAAATTACGTCTAATGAATTAGCAGTAATCAAACTTCCAGTTGAAAAAAACTCATTCGAATTAATGATGTTGTTTTCATTACTTTCAGGCGATCATAGATACATTTATTCTGATCTATGATTTCCATTTGACATCATATCTGGACCAAATTAATCAGCCTTATTGCGGCACATAGTGCGTCGGTGGCATGGCGGTTAGGACGCTCGCCGACCATGCACATGGTCCGGGGTTCGATCCCCGGCCGACGCGTTCCTTTACCTCTCTAAGCCAGAAATAAAGCTGGTAAAGAGAAAAGGTTGGGCATAAGGCATCCTGTAAAAATAAACGCTGCTTAAGAAACTTCAAGCCTCTAGCTTGAAGCCCTATGTCCCACTGGGAACGTGAAGGAATAAAAAAATTGCGGCACATGGGCTATTTAAATTGATGCCTTGTTCATGTCATGATTACTAAACCAAACATCCTTGTGTGAAGGTGTCTAGTAGTAGAATCCAGAGTGATTTCATCCCACTGGGACTCATCATCTGTATGTGCATGACATCCAGTAGGTGATGGTGTTCCCACGAATAACCTGAACCCTACAGTCATCACTCTAAACGCCAAAGCGTAATGCACCAGGCTACTGAATTATCGAACAAGTAAAGGCAAGTTATTATTCTTGGTTATATCGAAGCACCTATTCAGGGAATCAACATACCAAAATAAGACTGGTCAGTTAAATCCAGATATGCTGATTGGAGATATTAAGTATGAATACATAATTTCAAATCAAATCCGTAGTAAAAGTGGTGGCTCTTGTTTCCTAGTAGCCTGGTGGATAACACACTCTGGAGTTTCAAGCAATGGATACTGAGTGTGAGTTTCCTTGGGAATAACATCACTTAATGGAGAGCAAGGAAATCGGACTAATGAGTTGTGAATAAGGCAAAACCTGCGTCCCAAACTCAATTGCCAACCATCACCATACAAGTAACTGCAGACTATAGACATGTTTCAAATGAAATCCTCATCATTTTCATTTTACTTGATTTTAGCTTTTATGAATTTTATTAAATGACTGAATTGATTGCTTCAAAGTCCTTAAACTGTTTTTTTTTCATCAATTACAGACTTTTTAAAACTCAAGTCTAGGGTCCTTTATAACGACAATTAATAAAGCATTACCCACGCACATAATCAACAAGACAGACAAAGACAAATGAAAAAACTGTGTTAATGATATACACATATTCACCGGTTTCATTATTATCTCTCAAGTCTACTAAATTAGTAGGTGACCACAAGAGAAACAGTAGCCTGCAGCTAAATAAGGAAACATCAACAATCAAATGAGATCTAAATAAATAGATAAGTCGATAGTAATTAATATTGCATAATTTAAAACAAAAACTGACACTCCACCATTGAGAAACCTAAAAGTAAGTTAAGAGTAAACACAATTTATCATAAAACAATACTATTTTTAGTACTTTTTAGTGTGCATACACTGTTATCCTGTAAAAGTATTTATTTAACTGCATTTAATCCGTTGCTAAGTTTAAAATTGCCAATATTTTTTTAAAGTACATCTGAAAGTGGATGGATGAATGTATTGTGTAAGCCTGTATTCACTATTGATTCAGTTGATTTAACAGTTTCACTTCACTTTAAATAGCAGCCATAATCCTACACACACTGCAGTGAAATTCATAAATTAAGTCAAAGTTTCTATTTTTAGTAGGACAAATATTTTCATTTTTTTTCTTTTATCAATAATCTATGACGTCAATGAATGACTACTATTGTAAAAGGAAAATAATTTTTCTGTACTAATTATTGTTAGTCAGCGCAGGAAAAAAACTCTCATACTTACGGGATTACATAATTCCCCATAAAAGTTATCCTTTGAGATAAACATAATTTCAAACAGTTGGGGACTGATTACTTTGCGGATTTGGTACGCTAATTAAGGTAACATTAGGCATTCAGTGCTTGTGTCGCAGTTGTTACTGATAAAAGTTTGTAAGCAGTATATATTATTTGTGTCATGTCTTCTGCAAGAATATTGAATGTCAGAGAGATAGATTAAATGACAAAGAGAAATGACAAATGAAAGGTCCTTTTGACGAAACAGAGAAAACATAAAAGGAAGACAAAAGAAGCACAGCATGAAGAACACGTCTTTTCTTTATTCCTTCGCGTTCCCAGTGGAACATAGGGCTTCAAGCTAGAGTCTTGAAGTTTCAACGGCAGTGTTTATTTTTCCAGGATGAGGTTGCTAGCTTCATACCCAACCTTTCCTCTTCACCAGCTTTATTTCTGGCCTAGTGAGGTGAAGGAGTGCGTTAGTGGGGGATCGAACCCCGGACCATGTGCATGGTAGGCGGGTGTCCTAACCGTTGTGTCACCGACGCACATGAAGAACACGTGGAAATGGAGATTTCAATGCATATTATCTGTATTTGGCTATATCTGTACACTGATTTGCAAATAAACCATTTCGTTACCAAATATTACCGTTTTCTGCTGTTACACTAGCACTAGGATGAAGGCGATCTTTTGCATGTTGACTGTGCTTGTTATAGATAATAGGTTAAATACTCGAAGAGCTATAATGATAGAGAGTGTTAATATATACGAAAATAACCGAAGGCGCTAGTGGATATTACACTATTTACCTAGTGAATGTTGGTGTATTAACCATGAAGGAACTAAGGTGATTTCAGCATTTTCTGAAATTCATATGTGACGTTTGATTGCTACTTAAGAACAGATAGTTTCAGCCTACGGAGTATTTCGGAGTTTGAATAGAGGTTATAGGTTTCCAGGCCGTAGGTGTTACGAACTTCCTGAAATAATTTGAGCGCCGAGTCAGATTGATTCATTATAAATTATTTAAATTAATCCCAGCGTGTTAAGAAAATCAAAACAAGATTTTTCTGAACGTTTCGCTGTGTAAGCCACAGCTTCTTCAGCAGATTTATTCGGATTTTAATAATCATCAAAATATCAATATTTTGATGATTATTAAAATCCGAATAAATCTGCTGAAGAAGCTGTGGCTTACACAGCGAAACGTTCAGAAAAATCTTGTTTTGATTTTCTTAACACGCTGGGATTAATTTAAATAGTTTGAATAGAGGTATTCAGATATTTGCAGGCTTTTTGATACTTGCTGAACTTCTTTAACTTTTCTTTTAGCCAAATAGGTTAATACCGGGGATATATATATATTTCTAGACTGAAGTGTCTGGAATTTTGTGCTACCATGTTTTGTTACTTTATACCGTTTTTAAGATGAATTTCTGCCAATATTTCTACAGAAGCACCAGACTTCAAATATTTCAGGTATATTGACTTCCACAACTCCATCTCTATAAAAAAATATAAGTATTTTAACATAAATGTCAAGTCTTCGTGAAAATTTATACGGTATTTATTCACCTAAAACATATAAGGATCTACAAAACTTTGTCATCTAAATAGATAATAACTAATGAAGTTCATTTTTGAGTAGCTGCTACTGTGGTGAGTGCTACTTATAATCCGATATAAGTAGTATATCAGAAAGTGAATTCAGAAGAGTAACAATATGTTTTGCACACTGGAAAGAGTGATCAAAGAAGAGAACCATGAGAAGAATGTTGCCATATGATGCAGAATCCAAGAAGCTATCGAATGTGACGATATTTGACCAATTCGTCAAGGATGTGGTAAATGATGTGCAAATGGCAGTTTGAAAATATAGTATACCAAATTTACCTATGTACAATACGGTCTTTTCTTCTTTACACTACTATTATTCCATTTCGGTTTCTTTATTGATATATGAATGCTAGAAATTTTAATTGCTTTCAAAGTCTCAGGAATTGATTTCCCCCCTTGTGACGCTTTCAAGCACTCTGATGTATTCGAAAAATATAGTCTTTATTGATATTGACTTTAAAATACAGAATATTTCATGATTGAACATGAATCATATTCACGTGATACCTGGCAAGTTGAAAATGATTCTCCAAGAATGGTATGAATTCATTCCTGACTTATCCAAAGGGAATGTACGAGAGGAAACACACTGATTACTTCTTACAAACCGGAAAATGCGTGGGCTCTTAAAAGTCAGTCGCTAATACAATTTTTACGGATATAAAAATGGCCTATTCTAGTTTTTGCTAGCTTTCGTCGTTTAGTTGGTGGTGGATTATATGTTCACTTGTGACAGTATTGAGGTGAATCCTACTATGATACTGATCACAGTCGTGTTTTTGGCACTGCGCATATACAGTAAGACTGCTTTGCAGGGTACTGTAGACAATAACCGTATGGCATTCGGTAACAAACAGTGTTTCACTAAAAAGCATGGTAAGCTAGGAGTATGCATTAAGAATGTGTTGTGGAAACCCAATAACTGTTTATCATGAATAATCTTAAGTGGAGTAAAATTAGATTAAGCCAGAATTATATTTATTCAAGTCGAGAAGTACGACTGCCTGTGGGTCTAGACAGTGTGTGTGTGTGTGTGTTTGTGTAAATGGGACTGATTCAAAATCGACATTCATATTACAACAAAAACCAAGTCAAGGGACTATATATTCACTCTTTGTCATTTCCAAAGATTCAGTAGTCTTCTTCTGCCGCCTATTCTGACATTCCTTTCAGTATCTATGCTACCGATGGAAGATATTGAGAACATAGATCATTGCATTTCACATCCCTCTTTCTTTGTTTGTCTTGATATGAGAATAATAATAGTAATAATGAGAATTTGATTTCCTTCAGTGAAGTTTACTTGTAAAACAGAGAAAAACTAAGTTATCAAACTGGTAAAGAAATTTCATCAAAAATAGGTGAACATCAAAATAATTCACACTCAGGAGGCAAACAAGTGACACTTGTACATTAGATATAACAAAAAGAAAAGTCAACTTTTGTGATAGTAAAAATCAGTCATTTTGTTAGTGTCATGTATTCACACTGAGTTATATCTACTAACAAAATCTTCCATCATATGTGTCTGTGTAAAACGAGGAAAAAAGATAGACAAGTAAATTGTAAAATGCTTGAAATTATATAAAGAACAAAACACACTTTAAGTTTTCTATATTTAGAAAACCAAAAAGAGATCTGAATACAAAAAAATGAACTGGTTTTCTTTTTTCTTTAATTGCAAAAATTCATCGTTGGCATTTTATTTTCTTTGAAAATAAACGCGCTGAAGTTCATTGAAAATCAGAGTAGACATAATAAAAGTGTAAATAAGGAACATTATGCATATCCCATGGCATAACAGACTAGTATTCTTGATAAGATGATGCTTACATATGTCATTTTCTTTATTCACTTGAATAAACATGCATAAATTGTCTTCCTGATTCTTACTCTTCACGCAAATAGGATAATATTTACAAAATAAACTTTCAAAAAAAAAACTATACTTTTAGATTGTTCAGTATGATACAAAAGATGTAAGTGGTTGAAAGGTCAGATAACAGCGAAGAAAAGCGTGAAAAACAGATGTGACCAACAAACTGAATATACATATACATAATTATATATATCACTTTGGTTATGCTAATTACATAACTTGTAATAAAGGATCTAATATATTTGACTGCCTTAAGAAACGTCCAGATGCTAATTCAGATTCAAATTCAAACAACTGTCCCATGAAAGCGAAATTCGGTGCAATCACTGAACGCTTTGTTTTGACAAATTGATAGGCGTCCAGTAAAGACATACTTGAATACGCCATTAAATAGGCAATAATTAATGCTGGAGATCTGGACACACCAGCTTGACAGTGTACAAGTACACTTTTACCTGAACGACGAACTTCTTCTGTACAGAAAAAAACAAAGAAAAATAAGAAGAGCTGAATAATATGCATCATTCTTTTCATATAGCGATAAGATGAAATTCAACATAGGGTGTACCTGCTTTAGAAATTAGGCGAATAGCTCAGTGACAACATTTCTGACTGCAGCAATCGGTGATACAGGCTTAAATCCTCCATAGGGCGTCAGTTTCTTAGAAGTTGCAGAATCTCATTGCTGACGAGTGCCAGTAAGCACAAAACCTGGGTCCAGGGCTTACTACCGATTATCTACAATCACCTAATATTAATTTCATTGAACACCAAACGGAATTACCCAAGAATATCTAACAGATAACTTTTTATTGATTACTTGTGTAACGGCAGAACGCTGTGGTATTCGGTAGCAGAATTTTTATGCAGTAGAAACCTTATAATGAAAATTCTTATTATACATCTCTTTTCTTCATTTCATGCTTTCTACACTACTTGTCATAGATCTTTAATCTTCCTTTTCAAATCTTTATCTGTCTCTCGAATATTCAAGATCCCTGCAGAAGACATCGCCAATATACTACATACAAATCCTTGTCAGTAGCACCCGTCACAATGGTTGACATGGCTGGTCTTCAACCTCCCATAACAAATACTGACAAGTGTAGATCATTTAGATAAACCATTTAAATTATTGTCACATGATTAAGCATACAACAGCAAACTTGTTAGTGAGTGATTGAATCCTCATGATTTCAGTATTTTGCTGTTATCAGTTTTTAGGCTGATTATACCAATCTGATCATCAAGTCAACCAAATACAATAAGGTCACATCAGAATCACAATACTGATAGGTTGTAGTATCTGACATGCCTTAAGCTATTGAGATGACTATGACTGAAAACGGAGTAAAGTTCGAAACCTAAGCGGACAAGTTTTGTGTGAGCTAGAGTTCAGACACACTTCATATCTATGCATTTAAATAATCTACGAAAAATGTCTCATATCATCTGATGAACATCATTATGACTATGTGTTCGTATGACCTAGCAACAAATCGGGCTTGTTAAGGCATTATTCACCAAAACATCTCCATTTTAAGCATCACAATTCTGTTTCTGAAGGAATGAGTCATTGTCTAGAACAATCTAGAATCTATTTTTCTCAAAGAAAAAACAGATGATTTCTAAAACTGACTAAAACTGTTTAACGGAAATGTAGCATTGTCTTTTTTCATTTGCAGAACCATGAATCATCCTGTATGACTCACCTATTTTGGATAATTTTGCTTAGACAAAAACAAAAATGCTTCAGACTGACCAATCAAATATTGATAACAACGCTATGTTTGAGAAGCCTCCGCTTAATTTTTAACTGTTATACAGACAACTGGCCACATTTCATCCTGATTTTATGCACATTAAACGTCATCAGCCCATTTATGCTTAGACGCCTCATCTTCAGACTACTTTTAACTATTCATGAATAATCCCCATCCAGACATTAATGAAAACAAAACATGTTGTTCAGTGAAGAGTCTCTTTTCGGCGAATTCATTCACTTAGTTGTACAATCGCAATTATATATACTTATTTTTGAGTGTGTGCCTGTGTACATTAGGTTTGTCCGATAACAATAAAAATAATTTAGGGTTATTGTTGTTAAGACATTTGTTATTTTTTTTAAATTTTTGTTTATAGCTTGATTTCACACCGTATTTTTTGTTACAGGTATGGAATTTTCAGCATGTGATATCGGTAGCCCAAATTTTGCAGGCCGACCATAGACATTAGGTATGCGTCGGCAGCGGATCGAACCCCGGACCATGTGCATGGTCGGCGAGAGTCCTAACCACTGTGCCACCGACGCACACATATATATTCAAAAATGTAATGAGTAATCAAACTGTAACTATGGCGGGGGGATAGATTAGTAAGAGGGTAGTGGTGACTTGTTGTCAAAGAACTATACGTAAAATTTCCTCCACAGAGAAGAGTGTATTTCAGCGTGATTCATCTCTGAAAATATTGACTAGCACTTAATGCATACAGACATTTGATGAAAATGTCCCAGATACGTTCCAACTGAGTCCATATGATTTTTCTCTCTTGCAGATCAAATTTATAGACATAAGTGGTAGTTGTTTTGGCCCTTCGTTTTTGTCTACTATATGTTGACCAAGACAGTATGATTCCTTCTGCAACTTTACTGTATTTCAAGCAAGATTACAATGAAAAATGTTACAAATGAATTTGAGCAGCTATTACGAATCACATCCGTCCTTATATCCAATACTATATTTAGAAACTTCGAGGGAGTTTTGAAGATATTAGTACAACTTTAAAATATTGTTTACCACACGAAGTTTAGTCCATAAGAACTCAACCAGCCTAAGGTATTGATTAGTATGAGTGGTTACAAATAGCTTTTACTAGTTAAGAATACATAACGTATTGCTTTTCATGCTTTTAGTCATGATATCACGTGTGTTATAAAACAGACAACACGGTGAGATTTGATTATTTACCGTTTCTATTAGAAACCAAGGTTAAATTGTATGTTAGAGTATAACGTATTTTTCTGATAATTAATGCGTAAACTGTTAATATTACCACATGAACAATACCAAACGACATTGAGTAACACACAAATGACTATTAGGAGTGAGTTAAAAAATACTTTCAGATTACTAGAGTTTAGTACATGTAGACAGAATATACAAATATTTGCAAAATGAATAAAAAAAAGCAACAGAGATAAACATACCAATAATTTGAAATGCCGTATTAAAGTACGGTCGTAGATCCTGTGAATGTGAATCTGTTGCAGGAAGACGATGACACTTAAAACGTCTCTCATCAAGAAATGGTGTTGTAAGTGTTACATTCAGGATATAATTAATACCACATTTCCTCAAAGTAGTTTCATTTTGACTGTCAGATTCATTACCTAAACAGAATAAAGATGACTCAATAGTCAATATATTTACTAGACACAAGTTTTATCATCATACTGAAACAACTTCAAATAAAAATATACTAGTTTATCTTCCTTTTTATGTTTTTGTGTATACGGTGACTTAAGATACAAAGTAGATAGTCTAATACACCGATCGAATAGCTTTGATTAGTACAATAAGAAAGCTGATCTGCATAAATTCATTGTAGCGACCAAGCAAACAACTTATGCATAAATGTTGCAAGTACTGTAACTTATTAAAATGCAATAGGTCTGACAAATTTTTATCTTGAATTGGTATTGTGCTGATTTCTACACTTAAGTGTGTGTGTGTTTCAACACCTTTTAGAGTGATATCTTTTGTAGGAAAGACTAGTGAACAGGTAAGCTTTCAAGTACTGGATTGCAGGGATTTAATTGATTTCAAGTTTTATCACGAAGTGATTTCAGTCACGGTATGTGTTGTGAATTGGCAAAAGGTAGAATTGATAGGCCATAGGATACCGTCATATTGGCCAAAGGCCCTACGAACTCGCCTTGTGAGCTGAAGGTCCTAGATTTGATTTCTGGTGGGGTCGTACTGCTGAAAGCAGTTGTAACATACTAAAAAAAAGTAAAACTACTATGTAATCCAGTAAGAATTAAAGCTAATGAAATGCTTTGTGAAATGGTACTCACAAAACCTTTTCTCTATCGTTCACTATAGGATTTGATGACTTTTTCGGACGACAGTGTGCTTAAATTGCAGAAAATATTTCCAGCAAAATGTTGATTATGTGAATGATTTCACGTACTGTAGGATAGTAAGTATTATTGAACAATGATTTGTTTGGAACCAGTTTGCAAGACAGTAGTAGCAAAACAGTACAAAATTTCTCTGGTTTTTCAATCATCGAATGAATGAATGAATGGCTTTTTACTGCTCTATGGCACATTTTTTTCAGAATATCGGTTGGTGTAGATATTTAATGACTTCACGGTGGAGCTCATTACGAATTGAAGTAACTGAGAGAATCACTGAAAACTGGTGAACGCTAAACAGATTTTTCTGGGCCTATCGGCAGTATACACTCAATACTTTAGCGATAGTTGAAATAATGGCCTAAAGATTAGAAGTCGAAGACATCTACCATTCAGTGGATGATTCAGCATCTAATGGGTGACACATTTTAAATTCCATCGACTATTAAAATAGCTCCACTGACATCCAGTGTCTTAGGTGAATGACTTTCCTATTACCCAACTCAGTGGACCCCACCGAATACGACCTCTAATTGGAACTTAAAAAAAAAACTAGTCACTAATGGGCAGTGATATCGACTAGATCAACCCTGAAGGTTAACATTTGAGAAACGAATCCACTGCTGATCAATAGTTGAATGGTAGGCATACTCTCCTCTTAGAACAAATAAACAATTTTTCACAGTTCGAAATGAAATTTCATTCTAGTTTCCTTTGGAAACTGAAGTCATAACGATAACACAATGTAATCTGCTGGATACCGTGAATGATATTCAGGAAAGCGAATATAATTGCATAATTTAATTTACTAACAACTGGCTGATATGAGTGGTTGAATGATATTTACATCATTTTAAAATTTGATGACTGTTTTGCTCGTTTTACGTCGAGTTCCTCAGCAGTATGTACAAGGTGTAACTCAACTCAGAGAGCCGAAACTGTTCAGGCCAACAGGATTTTAGCTAGCATAAACTATTGGTTGATGTGGTTAGTATATAATTTCTCACATCAGTCAATCAATAATATATAGCATCATGCACTCTCTTCTTAGTTTGATATTCTGAGGGGATTGTGTGTGCCTAATGATCAAGAGTCTCAAATTAGGACTAGATAGCCGTCAAGTACTCCATATTTCTCAATGATGTAGTTTTGATTATCAAGAGCTAACGATTTACGAATGCTAGGGTGTTGAGTTTCACTTCATAAATATCCTACTGAAGGAAACAGTGAATAAAAGCCAATACTTTTGAAAGTGTTAAGTTGTAAGATATGTCCATTCTAAATGAACTGCCAGTTGGAGTATAAATTCATTATAAAATCATTTATTTCTTCTTACCAAGGTAAAGAAAGGGTAATATTCGACTTGCTTGAGCACGAAAAATAGCTTTAGGATCACCTGGATCATTATCATTCAAACAAAATTGAGATAAACCCCATTTATTTGCAAAAGGATTTGTTATTTGCTTATTGATGTTCATAAAATCAAACCGATTGATCTGTTTATCTATAACCGGTGGTACTGATTTCTCTGTTACAGGTGATTTAGTGTTTACAGGAATACCCAAACCAGGTAACAGTAACTGTGAATATTTCACTGCTTGCTTTGTACACTTGGAAGTTTCAATTGAGACATTTAATGAAAACTTAAATTTTTCTTCTTCGTCTTCTTTAGTATCTTTGGATCTTGATAAACTATTTAGGTCATCAGTAGCCTTTGGAGATATCTGCAGTGGATGTTCACATAGATGTTCATAAGCGTTGCAGAATTCTTGAAAGCCACCTATGTAAAGCAAGATGAAAGAAAGAATAAGAACTTATTGAAAACTTATTACACAGTAAAAAGACAAACAAAAAGCAAACAAAATTATACAACTTCTGATTTACGAATTAACACAAAGTTTACAATTGTGAAATTTGAATATTTCAAAAAGGATAAATATTGAAAAAAACTGCCTAAAATGATAGCGACTAAACAGTGAAATTAGGAATTAGAGGAAATCGTATTTTCAATGATCCAGAAGGTCCTGGTTTCGAACCCCGGTGGGTGCGTGCTGTTAAAGAGTCCGAAACCAGGACGAAACAGCTATCCAGTACTCCCCGCAGGTTTTCCAATGGTTTTCTAATTGATATCAGCTCATGATGAATTCCTACACCTCCTCGAAACCAATACTTAAAGTGTGTAACTTCATAAATTACTATTACAAAGGCGTTGATAAAATTTGTAATTGTCAAGTGTTTCAAGTGTCCTTTAGGTTTCAGGGTTTTTTTTGTAGGAAGAACCTTTGTGATTAAGATTTGTCTCATTGCTTAAATAAGAAATCACAAAATTATGGTTATTTAGTAGTAAATTGCAGGAAATTCTATTTCAGTACTTTAAACGAAAATAGATGTATCGTATTAGTCTTATAATTTATGAAAATACATTGAGCTGAACAGTCACAACATTAAAATGAGACATCTATCTTTTGTTCAGCTAAGAGTACTTATTTAATTTCACCTGGTTATTTTTACTTGTGTATTTAATTCCTTATCATCATCGTAGTCATTTTAAGGCTGATAATCAAGTCAATTTAAAATATGGCATCAGTGTAAAATATCATCTACCTCTAAAAAAAGCACTAGTGGAAAAGTTATTAATTAGTAAAATTCAGAATAATTAATTACTAGTTTGGCAGAATGAACGGATAAACTTTTCTCTTGAATGATAACACTAAATAATTTGCTTACTGACACTCATCAATAGAGGTACTAATAACCTCCTAATAATTTATAATTAGAATGAGTTCACATGACTGCATATGATATTTTAAAATGGAATATCTATTTATATAACTGACTGTACATACTCATAATTGGTGGAAATTTGAGACACGTTTTCTTTTTTCTTCAGAAATTATACTGAGTACAAGTTTGGTTACAGGATTTCATCATGAGCTGACATTGGTTAGAGAACCATTGGAAAACCCACTGGGAGTACTGGATAGCTGTTTCGTCCTAGTTTGGGACTCTTCATCAGTACGCCCCACTGGGGTTCGAACCCAGGACCTTCTGGTTACAAGGCGAGCTCGTTGACCATTAAGCCACCCGATCCAATGGCCCATGAATTCTAACTTCTGCCAATTCACGATATAGCGCAACCGCTAGCCAATGTCTTCGGTGAGTATTTGTCCTCACACCCGACCTGCTGCACCCTACTGGTCACGACTTCCCACCAATACTTGACTACAAGTTTACTAAATTAATAACGAACAAAAGTTTGAATTTTTTTGAAGGGAGACTGAAATTCGATGTCTGTTGTAAGACTTTGAAAGTATTGTCTATATCTCAATGAGGCAGTTAATGAATGTTTCTGAAATCTGTTAAGTAAAAGTCATAGATAAGCTTATTGCTCACCAGTCGTTAAACGTTTTATAACTTATATGGCAATTATTAACGTTAAAAGAAACTGAACTCCTCATACAATTAGAGTAACAGTCTGATACATTATTCAGTACTTCATATTTGCTATATATATATGCATTACTGTCAAAGTATTTTGCATAAAGCAAAAATTAAAATTATATGAGAAATAATTCTTTCCACAATTCAGTAAGTCCACAACACTTGCTTAACCAATCAAGCAAACATAAAGTCCAGCTTAAATTCACTTCCCTATTTTATAGTTTCGGTTCCAATGAAAACCTAATCAGTTGGTTGTTGAGTGTAATGCTCGAAATGCAAAGAACTAAAGATATTATTAAATCTTAATTGTGATTTCTGGGACATTGAAGATGCATAAAACAGTTTAATCTATTGGGAATTGATGGATGTCAATCGCATAACATAACCGGGGAGATAAAAGGCTTGACTACTGTTTCATTTTATTTTACGCAGCAAGCCCGGTCTAGAGTGGAAATGAATACCCTATACTATAAATTTAGCAAAGTAATCTACCATAAGATTTTAAACAATACCTGTCACATGATCTTCGGAAAGTTTCAAGGTCTTTGATTGTAATTCTGAAGTGCTAGAGAATTTAATATTCAAACATTTAGCTCCTTTAATTTCTAATCTATATTCACTCACTCACACCTTAAGGCATAAATTATCTTTCAAATAAATTCCTATGATAAGTAAGCTGGATCAAGTCGTTTGAAATGTATCCCGCAAATACACCACACGATTCGGATAGATTACATGTTGTTTTATCAAAATTTACATTGAAAGATTAAAACATTACTAAGTAAATCATTTGCCCATCTTTTAAAAATGACTCTAACTGTGAATTATGCAGTCACCACATCTCATTGCCACACCATAGCAAGTATATCGACGGTAAATGATGGATAACACTGACCGATTTCTTATAGCTGGACAGGTTAGACAAGATTGAATATTTAGTCCAACAGCCTATATCTTGTAAATACTTAAGTTTTCTGTTTTTTCATACAAATAACACTGAATAAACAACACACCGGCCACGTGATTACATTCTTAATCTCTCTCTTATATAAGTTAACACAAATTTATGATACTAAACTTAGTAAGTAACAATATTTGAAAATTTACCTGAATAAAGAAAAATAAACACAAAAATTTAAAAAAGGTAAACACCAGTACACATAAAACCCCATTGGTTTTTCAAAGAACTTTTGTAGACTTAGTTAAAAAGTTGCAATTTTTATGAAATCAATATGATTAACTTGTGATAGTATAAAGGAAATCTTTAAAAGTAAATTGAGATGGTGAAGAGTGTAACGACGACCAAATTAACTGAATGAATCCGCTGAGCTTTACAAGCTTTTAGATGGAGATGTTTAGCCTATCCTCTTTCTAATACATATATATATATATAAACATGGTACAATACGGTTCGACTCCGATGTTAAATTGTTTCACAGAGAAAATTGAGGACACCGTAAGGAGTCTAATCTATGATCATCACGCTGATACATACGCTCATCCTCACTAAGTCATTAAGTTGGAATCCAATTGCTTACAGTATCTGGCATCTGTAAATTTGTGATTCACCAATCATGTCACGCGATGAATTCGTCCTCACACTTAGGTTACTGAACATGTATCATTTATGATTACGTAATAAAGAAACTTCAATGATTCTTAGTTCTCAGTGATCCTCCTACTTGATGTCAGTTCTTGAATACATGAATACTCAGATCTGAAACATTTCCTAAGATCCAATAGTTTCTTATCTTCAGTGCTAATAATGATTGTAACATTAAATCTTAAATTATTGATGCAAAAGTGTGACATAAAATGATTGGTTATAGTCAACAAATTATGTTTGTTTTTCCTTATTTCTATCAACATTATCAAGGGTAACAATGTGTTCAACTTCTCTGAACATAAATCATGACTGCACTCATTCATTGTATGGTGGGATGATGAGTAAAGTGAAACGAAATGTGAATTGTGACTCAATGGGAATAAGAGAATGGTTAAATTAGTTTTTACTAAAAGTATGATGAAAAAATACATAAATTTACAAAGCGAATTTAGTTACCTTTGAGTACTCGAACATCTAAATCATGATCATTCGTAAGGTGTTTAACCAGACAATGAAGAAGATCTTTCAGTACAGGGAATTCGTTAATACTAGAGTCAGCACAGATAATTATTAAACGACAGTCGAGTTTATAATTTTGTTGACCGTGAGTACTGAAACACTGTTTCCTTGCACGCAAAAAATCACTCAACATTGGTAAGGCACGTCGCAACTTTACACGTGATTCACAAGGTATACCGACTGCAGTTTGAATTCGCAAATCAGCTTGAGCAGCTAGGCTTCTGATATCCAGTATTAAGGGTACACATAAAGTGCAAGAATAATTTGAAGTGAGCAACGATGCCAACTCATCACAGTCGATGAAATTTATTCGTGAAGCGATGGAATCATTGACAGAATGATTGCTTTCAAATGAATAATTAACTTTTATCGGAGACAGAATTTCGTCTGGATTAGAAGGAACAGGACTAATAGACGTATCATCCTGTGCTGATCCATATTTGAGGCGTTTGCTTTCTGAGATTGCATCAGGATTTTCTTTAGCTGATGATTGTCCGAAAGTTCTTTTCTGACTAGTGCTCCTTCCTATGTCACTCATTGATGACGGAGTGGGAAGTAACTCTTCATGAAATGCAATGTCCTGCCAGTGAATAGTCATTGTAAGTGGGTGATAATCCCACAAAGGCTGATTGAAGCTACAGAGGTCATCGACATCTGTACTGCACGAAAACAGCTGGCTTTATTTACTACTTCTGGAGGTCAAAATCTCTGCACCAATAGCGTATCACACATAATATAATTATTTGAAATTTCATTGGTCCACACATTCTTTGCTACGATTGGTTGGACTTCTCATAAAGAACAGTCTGATTGTAATGGCCTTGACGAAAACATTAACTTCATTCTCCTCAAAATATCAACAAAATTTAAACATTGGTTCTAGAATTCATGACACGCTGCTCCATGCAGCGCACACTCATGTCTTAAGTTAAGCACTTCTAAAGATGACGTAGAACTACAAGACTCATAGACCATAATGATAGTCATTACTCCTATTATTTCCTTAGGTTCCGAATGAAAGATAGAGAATTAACAAGGTTTCTATTTCATCCAGTTGTATGCGGTTGTCTCCAGATGGCTCTAACATTGCCAATAAGCTTCCATCTCCGACTCACATGATCCCCTCCATGTCAAACACAGACACACATCAAACACTTCATTCCCAATCATATGTTACACTCGAGAAAGTGACGCGTGATATCAATCAACCATCCCCTCAGTGTGTATACAATCCATATCCATTTTATTCCACATATATTCTGGACAATTTGTTGTTGATTGATTCGCTGCACTGAAAGAGTTACGTGCTGCTAACCATTTCTGACCATCTGATATCCACCATGGGGTGGAGGAAGCTGTTGGCATTAGTCCAGAGCCTGCTGAAAATGCTTTTCACCAACTGTTCTCTCTCTCTCTAAACCACATCGAAGTACTGATTTCAGATGTGAACTGAAAACTCAGATCTTGTTCGTTGTGATGGGTTCTGTTGATCTCCACTCCGACTCCAAAGAATTATCCAGGTCTGTCTTACTTCCCCTATTCTGACTGGTTACGATATCCTCATCCGTGCTCGCTGTAGTTGAAGCAATGCTCATTAGACAAGTGAAAGAATTCACTCCCTTCAGATTCTTCCCGTCGACAGTGATTGGTGTTTGTTGTTGTTATTGTTGGTTAGACATCTTCATCATCTCTACCTTCTCCATGTTCACTTGAGGTCGTGTCTTCGTCTCTTGTCTCTTTTTCTGACTTGTTGATTTTTACTTGTATATCTTTGTTTTTGTGTGATCATGAATACAAATTATTCGCGAAGTTCAAACCTCTTACTGCTGTCTCTCCAATCCACTTTATGCCTACCTCCACACTCGATACGGTCTGCAGCATTATCCTGTTCTATCAATAGTGATAGTTGGCAATCTTGTCTTTTTTCTGTCTTCACTTCAAAGATTTCATTGAGGTTTACGTGTGAACTACTTGTCATGTGACATCATCGTACATCTGCTGAATGCTTTTGGTAAGGGTTTGAGGCACTTCTTAGTGTTAAAGAAGTTTACAAACTACCTGATATCGAGTCTATCGGGTGCCCACTCAGATTTATTGAAGTTAAGGTCAAGAGTTCACTATTATTCTATGCCCTGTGTGATAATGAAACCTACAACTGAGACTTCTGTATTACTTAATGTATTGAATATTGTGTTAAAGCATTACTGATTTAAAACAGAATTGTCATGGTCACTTACATATTTCTCTTTTGTAGTGCTTTCATGAAAATTTTTTTTCAAGTTTATTTTTTCAAGCAGACGTAGCATAACACTGTCATATGTCTTAATCAGCTTCAGCTGCTCATCTGTGACTAATACAAAAGGAAAGCTGTTTACTAGAATGTAGCCGACTGCCAGCATTTTTGACCTCTTTTCTAAATAACAGAAGAATTTACTATGAAGTTTCAGAAGCCGTCATACTTTCTATATTAGTCATCAGTCAGATGTTTAGTAATAAAATAGTCATAAAGAAGTCCATCATTTTTATTTTAAACCAAACATACATTCAAATGATCGTTTTGGTAGTCATATCTTTGGTTATTTACTTAGAAAGGATACATTTAATTGGGGCATGCTTTCCTCTCATTCTATAGGATATCAGATAACTTACTGAAACGAATCACATAACTGGTAAAAATACTAGGCTAAATAAGCTACACAGTATTATCCCGCAAGACTTATAATAGTACCTGTTAAATAATACATAAAGATGGAAGAAAAAAGGTCGCAGACAATCTGTAATGTCGTATCAGTTAAACAGGTAGTTTTCTATTAAGTAGGAATCATCACCACTTGATTGCTTTTAAATGAATATGTGACCATAAGAGACAGGAGAATTGGTAATGGACCTTTCTTATAGCGGAAAAATACACCATATTAATGCATTTTTAACCATATTAAAACTCGGCTAGGTCAGCAGACAATAAACTCTTCTGATTAGCTGGCGATGGACCCAAAGTTAAACACAGGGAAGAAAAGTTGACCACCGAGGTTATTTTAAGACCACAACGTAAACTAAATCCAGATAGGAGGAATAAAAACTTCTACTCCTGCAGCCATTGACTTAAAAAGTTGATTTTAATTTTTGGCCGCTTCCTACGAGTTTGCATCTGTATATCACAAGTCACAAATAAATCATGCACTTGACGATGAACAGATGTTCAATGGACACGTTTTGTATTGAAACATTTGGCTTAAGTTTACATATAAAAAACATTCAGTGGCCAGAGGTTTTCATGAAATGCACAGAAACGTGTCATACTCTTCCATTTCTACCCGACTTTTGGTTGCATTATTCGAACCGGACAGATGAGTCCATATCAACAAAGTTCTAGTGATGCTTTTTAAGTCGCTCCAGGGGCAGATCTTATCCTTGTAATCCCGTCATCTAACCAACAACGCATTACAATAGAAACCACATTATCGAACTCATTTGTACTACAACAATCAGTTACATCGAATCACAATAACCTAAATTGTAAGTTAAAAAGTTTCTACTTGAAAAAATAATGAACAAGATTGCCCATTTCGTAGAATTGCTAGGATAGTCTTCAAGATGGTCGACACACTACTAAGAATTAGATAACCGACAGTATATATGATACAGAAGATAACTCGCACTGGATTCTGCTGCAAAGTGTGAAGAGGCAAAAAGATAGAAATAATCTGGATCAGGCAAATGACACTAGAAGGTTTGAACTTCGCGAATAATTTGTATTCATGATCACACAAAAACAAAGATATACAAGTAAAAATCAACAAGTCAGAAAAAGAGACAAGAGACGAAGACACGACCTCAAGTGAACATGGAGAAGGTAGAGATGATGAAGATGTCTAACCAACAATAACAACAACAAACACCAATCACTGTCGACGGGAAGAATCTGAAGGGAGTGAATTCTTTCACTTGTCTAATGAGCATTGCTTCAACTACAGCGAGCACGGATGAGGATATCGTAACCAGTCAGAATAGGGGAAGTAAGACAGACCTGGATAATTCTTTGGAGTCGGAGTGGAGATCAACAGAACCCATCACAACGAACAAGATCTGAGTTTTCAGTTCACATCTGAAATCAGTACTTCGATGTGGTTTAGAGAGAGAGAGAACAGTTGGTGAAAAGCATTTTCAGCAGGCTCTGGACTAATGCCAACAGCTTCCTCCACCCCATGGTGGATATCAGATGGTCAGAAATGGTTAGCAGCACGTAACTCTTTCAGTGCAGCGAATCAATCAACAACAAATTGTCCAGAATATATGTGGAATAAAATGGATATGGATTGTATACACACTGAGGGGATGGTTGATTGATATCACGCGTCACTTTCTCGAGTGTAACATATGATTGGGAATGAAGTGTTTGATGTGGGTCTGTGTTTGACATGGAGGGGATCATGTGAGTCGGAGATGGAAGCTTATTGGCAATTTTCGAGCCAGCTAAGGACGACTGTATAGAACTGATTGAAATGGTGATTTGCTTTGGAGGACCCTTTATCTTTAAGAATCCAGGAGAAGAAAAGATAATAGAATTATAAAAATTATTGATCAAATTATCACAGTCGAGTAATGACATTTGAATCAATCAAGAGAGGTTAGTATAATGCCTGAAGCAATGGTTAATACGGTTAAATTTACAAGTGTTGACTGCAATTATCTTTATTTGCCAAATTAAAGTGATATTTGAATTAATATCACGACAGAAAGTAACACTGGTTTTTATGAAATGAATTTTGGAGAAAAGTGCAATGTTAAACTGTACTGACATTATATGTCTCTTATACATGCTATCTAAGCTATGTGGAGATTTTTCATTCTGATACGCATTCTGTTTTTGAAACCGGAATCCTTTAAAATCGATAATCTGTGGTTGTTTAAACTGCAACAAACTGTAATGTTAGAATGTTTTGTAGGCAAAAAACTAACTGTGATTTGCAAGTAATATTTGCTACCAGTATTATTTATGCATTTAAATGTTTTATAAGGTGACATTAATATTCCAGATTTTAGGTGTGTATTCAAACAAAAAATGCAATTGACGACTGAAAAGTTATTTGTCTGATGTGCTCTCCAAAACTGAGTAGCAGTATAACTGCATTTACTTTCCAAGTGTTACATGATTATAAAATATTAACAAAACACTTGTTTAGGCCCTCAATTGAAGTTAAATCAAATAATCCATTTAAGATGACAATGACTTCGAAAGCGAGATATATGCAAGCTAAAATTATGTATAGTTTTATATATATTGCTTTGAGGATTTCAAAACCAATGTTTTAGAATGTCAGTAATTGAAAGTTTTGATTCCACTCAGATCAAAATGATTAACCTTGTAATTTCAAGTTGAATCACATTTACAATATGTCTCTGACTTATTACTCATGCTTACAGCGAATGCTTAATGAGTTCATTTGATCACTTATATCTTGAGTTTATGTAAGATGCTGTGTACAAATGCCGCAACTTTATCATATAACACTAAATAAACAAGTGGACATCTCAGCATTGAGAAAAAAAGAGCAGAGTAATAACATTTAGGAAGTAAATGATGAACGAGAATCAGAATGGTTGTATCCGTTGACATAACTTTATCAGCTATGAACTAATCGATAAACTCGTGAAACAACAGTCAATACTGTAAT